ATCAAAGGAATAGAAGCGTCTAGACATTTAGCAGTGATCAAGTAATTTAAAAATCACCTTAAAAAGCTGTAAAAATTTCTTAATAAAAGCCATAAATAAATATTAGATTTGTTTTGTTTTGCGTAGCTGATTGTTGCGTAGCTGACTGCATGATTTCTAAAAACGTTTTTTTTTTACCTGTTATTGTTATTCTATTGAAAGTCTTACTTATTTTTTTCAATACTTTTCAAGTTTTCTTGGGGTGACTTTTTTTGCGCAACTAAGCTCGGAAGATTTATTGAGTTTATCCCTAATACATTTCGATCAACAACAACAGATTACACGTTTAAAGAACTTCTAGTTGTTGCTTTTTAAATTATTTTAGTTGTTCAATTGTTGTCCAAATACTTTATGCTTTTAAAGCTCTGAAGATCAAAGTTCCAAAGTAAATGCATCATAAATATACATCTTTGAGTTAAAAACGTTTATATAATAAGGTTGTGAACAGATAAAAATATCAAGAGTACATTTAAAAGGAAATTGTATTACCTACCCCCTAGCCCCATTATTTAAAAAAGTGAGAGTACTGAAGCTTCTAAAGCCCCCTCCCCCTTTTCCACCCCGGGGTCCAGGTTTCTTTTAATGTAAAATTATCTTTATAAACTTTATAAATAAATTTTATTGTTTCTAAATACAAGCTATAAATATAGTTTTAGATTTGTTTTGGGTTTTAATTTGAATTATAATAAAAATTCGCATGTTGCGTGGCTGATTGTTGCTTAGCTGACCGCATAGTTTTTTGAAAACTTTTTATTTGACGTGTAATTAATATTATATTAAAAATTTTTTATAAATATAACTTCAATGAAATAATTGTTTTTGAAGAAAAAAACGTTTTTATAAAAAAATTCGGAGAAAAAATAATTCAAACGTTAAATTAAAAAAACAGGCTTTTTAGCGCGTTGCGTAGCTGACCGCTGTCTTTTATTTCTATTTTACTCAAATTGCCTTCTTATCTTTTTTTTTTTGTGAATAATAATAAAAAAGGATAATTTGAGTGTAAACGTAAAAAAAAAATTAAAAATTATAATATAATGAGTCAGTTAAATTTTTAAAAACATGTTGCGCTCGTTGTCTCTCACTCTCTTTCTCTCTCTCTCTCTCTCTCTCTCTCTCTCTCTCTATATATATATATATATATATATATATATATATATATATATATATATATATATATATATATATATATATATATATATATATATATATATATATATATATATATATATATATATATATATATGTATGTTACGGCTATGTAAAGTTTTTTATATTTATGGGGCTCGGCGATAAGGCAAACAGTGCCTTCTTGTTGCTCCAGTCATTAACTAATTAATTGATATATTTATATATGCAATGTAAACATTCTTTATCGGAGAAATAAATTATACGAAAAAAAAAATGCAGTGCTAAAAATGTCCTTCCCAAAATTTATTATATACTTAAAAAGCGATCAATAAAAAAAGAAATTTAATAGTTGAAATCATGATATAGAATAAGTTTAATAAAGTTAAGTTTAATAAAGAATTTGCCGTTCGCCTTGAAATTTCATTGTGAATGCCGAGGTAATTTATCAGTTTTACTATAATGAAGTCTTTTTTCATTTGCATTTAATGCGTTTTTCAGTTTAAAAAAGTTCGCTGCTCTTGACCGGCTAGCGTCACTTACGAAAACACATCAGTGGAAAAATTAATGCATACGCAGTAAAATCTTAAAGTTTTAACTGTTCACAATTTAACAATGCCTGTACTTTGCTCATGAAGAAAATTAGATCTACTTTTAGAGATTTTTAATTGTCGCTATTTCTTGTAAAAATTAATTATTTAATTGTTTTCTTTTTTTAACTGTAAAGAAATTGAGGTATTTGCAGACAAATTTAGATTAGATCTCCAGCAAATTAGAATTAGAACTGTTAACACTCGACGAATAAAACAAAAATTTTGGAAAAAGACTTTGTATTAATGTTTAAAATTTGTCGCTAAAAACCTAAGCGGTATTAAAATAAAAATAAATTACAATCAAAAGTACTAGGTTGCTTTTATGCGTTTTGCTGGTTGATCTGGCAGAAGGAGGCCTGCTACCAAACGATTAAATGTCAGTATTTAATATTAGTAAATCTGTAGCTTGTTTAACACGCTTTTTTTTTTTTTTTTTTGCTTACAAGTGTAGTGTAAACATTTTCTAATAATATTTATGTGGTAAAACTGTGACGTGGTTTCTACTTGCGTCAGAGTAATTTTGAAATTTTATTGGTTATAGGCTTTTTTGTTGTTGTTCGATTTTTTCTATAATAAAGTGTTAAAATTTAATAAAATAATAAGATAAAATTGTTATAATTTAGCAATATGCTCAAAATATAAGCGATAAATAAAGAAAAAATAATTATATATAACTTAGGTAACTTTTTCCCTAAGTATTTAAATCTTTTGTATCAGATTAGTCATCATTAATCTCTGGCGAATCTGTTGTGCTTTATTCTTAAGTAAAAAAGTTTTTCTATTATTAATCGAATATTATACTAAATACTGTTTTTTGTGGGCGTTTGATAAATAACTATCTCATTTTGAAATAAGCAGTTGTTCTAAATATTGTTTTATTATTGCAGAATATATAAACTTGTCCAATGAATTTAAACTTAAAAAAACAACTAAAACATCAGAATATTGTATTATCACAATACTATGTTATCATATTGGAATGTTGTATTATCATAAAAACTTAAATTGCAATGAAAATATATGGTGTACATTTTCTTCTTTAAAAAACATCTATTTTAGGGGCATCACGTTGTTAATCACATTAAAGAATCGATAAAAAACATCCGGGGATTGGTTGTCAATAAATGTTCTTTATGATGTACTACCAAAGGCGAATAGTGTCGAATTTATTATTTATTAATTCAAAGAATTTATTTCAAATTATTCAAATACTTTTTGAGTGTTAAGCTTTATAGTGCATTATTCTAATAATTTATTATTATTTATACAATTACAGTTGTATGATCAGTATGGTAAGAAACAACACATTGATTTAATACGTGAAAAATAATGCATTTTTCTATTATGAAAATTGTTATACAGGCTTACTTGCACAATTAAAAATTATTCATTCAATTGGTTAAAAGATATTTTTTCCTAGACCCATATTTTGTTGAACTTCAGTTTGCGAAATCATTTGCGATACAAGCTGCTGCGGTACAAATCTGAGGGAGTAGTCCGTTACATATTCCGTTGATTTAAACAGTTTTTTTTTTTTATTGGTAGTAAAAACATAAACTTTAGATTTAATTTTTAAAAACTTAAGTTATTATGACAGATAATTTAATAATTTATGCATAATAAAAGTAAAAGCATGAGTTTTATTTGCTGCGTACACGCTCTAGATGGTTACTGGAGATGTGACCCAGTAAGCATAGCACGTTTTCAAAACGTTTAAAAAAATTATAAAAACGAATATTAACTTTTTTTAAACGTTTTAAAAACGACCTGTGCTTACTGGGGAGCGCTCGGTGCTTGTCCGCCCTACGTAATAATTAACTTTATAATGATCGTATGCCTATATTTTTTGTAAATACATTTTTGAAATTGAAGAAAACATCAAAAAACTTTCAGTTTTCAACTGATTAATGGTTTAAAGTGTCTCCTCCTACAGTAACGTCACTAAAAACTGCTTTCTTTGTCTACAGAAAAAAACTTGATTATTTTATAAAAAGTTGCCAAGACCTGTTTAAAACTTTTATTATGCTTGCAAATAGAATATGCAGCTTTTTAGCTGTTGCTTTTTTTATTCTTTATGAATTTTTATTTTTTGTTTTGTCCCATGTTGTCTGGCTTCACGTGATATTCAAACAGATGAAGCACCTGAATCAATAAGCAAATAACGGTAGCTTTTAGCATTCGATCTTCGCGAAAACTTGCTTTTTATTGATGACCGCAAATTTAACGACTATAGGATGTTGCTAGTCTGATGACATTTTGTACCGCACCACTTATATGCTTAGCCATGATGATACTTGACGCTGTGAATATCCATCACCGATTAATGTGTTAACCTGACCTTTTTGAACATCAGTAAAATCACATTTTTTACCCATTTAATGTATGTTTTTTGTTTTTTACTTATTTTTTAACCCTTGATCAAACAAAAAAAAAGTTTTTAATTTTTTATTAATTTGATCAGTGTTATTATTTGCGAAATAAGTAATATTTCATAAATATGTAAAATAAATTTGTGTTTAACATCAAAAGATCTGCTAAACTTATTGTTTTTTATTACATAAATTATTATTCGTTTAATTTTCTAGATCCTGTTTTTATTAAGCATTTTATATAAAATTATGTCATTCTCACGATAATTGAATAATTTCACAATAATAGCTCCAGTTACCTGAATTTGAGTTTGCATTGTCATAAAAACCTTTATCGCGATGATAATGTATAAGAAGTTACATAGTTTTTGATCAAAAAAATATCTATTTTCGAGGCATTGCTGTAAATAACACATTTGAAAACTCAATAAAAAACATCCGGGGATTTGTTTTCAAAAAAACTTTTTTATGACGCACCACCTAAGGCGAGTTTCGTCAAATCTTTTAAAGAATTTATTGAAATACGTTTTGAATTATATAATGTGCATTATTCTAATAATATAATAGTATTTATAAAACCATAGTTTTATGACCAATATAGTAAGAAAAATCGCATTGATTTGATACGAGAAAAATAATGCATTATTCTATTATGAAATTGTTATACAAACTTACACTCATAATTATACATACTTTATTTAATTGATTGGAAGATGTTTTTGCTAGACCCATAAGGGATTGTCCATAAATTACGCGACGGGAAATTTCACTAGTAAGAAAAACAAAAAAGACCAAAAGTTTTCCCTCGTGCAGCCTTAAGTTATAAAAAAAATAAAAATAGCCCATTTAGCCTTATGAAAATTTTTAAATATAATTTGTGTTGCGTAATTTATGGTCGATTCCTAAATTGTTAAACTTCCGTTTGTAAAATCATATGCTATATAAGTAAAAGGCATACAGAAAATCTAAGATTTGAATTTAGATTTTTTAACAAATACTGTTAGCAAAATGTTTTTTAAGATACTTGCTTTGTTGCTATTAATGCAAGGTAATGAAAGTTTCATTTAGTTTATTGATTTATCTTTTGATATATACTAGTTATTTTTGTAACCTACCCTGTCAAGTTTGACTAACTTAACCCCACTCGTAACTGTAAATCGGTAATGTTTAAGTTTTTTTAAATATTTTATTATTTCATTATATATCATAAAGGTCGATACAACATCAGGGTTGTAACTATAAAAAAATTTGTTAATCTCATAAAAAATAATGATTGCGACTACTAAAAAAAAAGAACCTCAAATCTCTGGATCTATCGAGTAATCCAAGAAAAATACCGACGAAAGGTTAATAACGACATAAAAATGGCATGTTTAAAAACTGCCGGGTGTCCACACACCCATATTGGTGCAAACCTGCACACATTTTATTCCCTAACACACAAATAGATTCGTAAAATAATACTTGATTCTTAAAATGTTCTTTAAATTATACTTGATAAGATATTACGAAAAGATATTTGCTAATTTAACAGGAAATTTTTTTTTTGATTTTCTTTTAGCTATAACTTTCTTAAATTTGATAAATAAAAGCTTCCCTAAAGAACATAAATTTCATAAACATTTTAACAATGTAAAGGTAAGCTATTGCTGTATTCCTAACATTCGCAACATAATTACTTTCCATGACAAAACAACGTAAAAACAAGGTAACATGAAAAAGAAAACTACAATATTGGATTTAGTAATAAAACATCTAAAAATCGATGATACAATCTTTTTTACTTTATGAAAGTAAGATTCTTAGTAAATTACTAAATAAAAACATAAATTGGAAACACAACATAAACATGATTGAAAATAAAATTTCTAAAAACAATGGATTACTCTATAAAGCAAAACCATACTTATGTCAATCATGTTCGAAATACATATATTACTCATTTATTCATTCCTATCTTAGTTATGTAGCACCAATAAAACAAAGACAAAAAAGTTATATATCAAAGAAAGTTGTGTAATTAGAATATTATTAAATACACACCGCATTTCAAATTCAAGACCATTGTTTAACAATCTAGAAATTATAAAATTGTACCAAATAAATTTATATCATCTATTAATTTTTATGTATAAATTTAATACTAATAATACAATAGCAAATATCTTCAAACCATTATTTAATAAAATTCAACGCTAATACGTGACTAAATATTTAAGTAACAACCTTGTTCAACCGAAAACTATATACTATTTATTAAGTTCTCAATAACTATTAGAGAACCTAATGTATAAAATAAGATATATAGTAATGATATTAAAATACCTATAACTCTATAAAACTACTACTTTTAAATTATGAACTAAAAGAGAATTGCTTTTAAAACTTTCTATAAAAATATTATTTTTGAACATTTTCTACTAATGCTTACTTCATTTGCCTGGCAAGATCTAAAGTCTTTAACTATATACATTATAGTAAATTACATTATAAAGATTTACAGCATATTTAGATATTATTAACGATAGTTTAAATTTATTCTTTTTCTGAAATGAAAGAGAGAGGGGAAAAAAAAAGTAATATTCTTTGAACTTGGTTTTTTATTACTTTTGATTTTTTTAAATTTCTTTTTGTTCGATAAATCTACGTTAAATAAATATTTTTGATTTTGAACTTATATAGCATCAGCGGAATTATCATTTTCCCGTCTGATATGACTCAATCACAATTAAACATCACCACAGAAAAAAATATCCATAAAACAGTTTAAAATACTATCGCAAACTTAGTATTTTTTAAATGAATGTGTGCTGGCAAAAGATGACTAATTACGTTAAAAAGATGATTAATTACGTTGCGTGTGAAAAATAATTAAATAAATAGATCATTTTTATCTATTTTGCTGAATCATACGAAATTGAGGAACTTTTTCCTTTTTAACATATGTTTTACTTATAACATATGTTATAAGTAAAACAAATAGTCAACAAAATAAACAATAAATGAAATATATTCTTCTTTTAATTTTACAAAAATTACTCTAATTATAAATTTTAGCACTAGAGGCCTTTTAAAAAATCATCAGTTGTGCTATTTTTGTTACTATAACAACAAAATATAATTTTTTAAAAAAAAACAGGAAATGATAATTATTCAATGTTGCTGTTAGCAACTATTGTAATCTATATTGTAATGTAAATTAAAAGTATCATGTGAAAATGCTTCTCATGAGAAATTAGGTTTTTTCAATTTTTAGCTCCACAAACACAAAAAGCTGGAAAAAAGGTTCTATAATGGAGTTATGCGCACGTTGACAATTGTATACATGGTTATCAAACCTATCTGTTGATTGCCCAGTTCTACAACTAGAAATGTGCCCATTAGTGCGAAGTTGCGTTTTTTTAACAGTGTATTTCGATAAACACATCATTAGGCTTTAAATTACTGCAATTAAGAAAAAAATAAAACAGTTTTTGAAAATGTGATAGCACAAAAAACGGTTGTGCCCCTATAGTGATGATGTCATACTCACCTAACGTCAAATAGCCTGCTGCCGGTGGCTTCAGTACATACATCGACTGACAAATAGCCTGACTCGCAGTGGAGTGCTGCTTCATCGACTGAGGGTTAGGTATGGGTCAGCAACCTTTTCATTCATTATTCTTCGTTTTTCCTCATTGTTTTCTAAAAACGCTCACTTAATTTAGGCTAGCAAAAAAAGTTTGCAATTGCGCATATAAATATGCTATAGTAGATATATATATATATATATATATATATATATATATATATATATATATATATATATATATATATATATATATATATATATATAAATGAATATAACTATTTTATTGATAATTTTTATTTAGAAAAAATTATTTTGAAGGATATTTTCCGGGGAGATTTTTTCTTAGGGGGATATTTTTCTATTAAGGGCAATAAAGTTTAAACGCACCTACAACTTCTTTTAATCGAAATATATTAATTCGGAATATAACCCCCGTTGTTTTTAATACATGCTTGTATTCGCCTTGGCATTGATTCGAATAAGTTTTCAATCATCTTGATTAGTATTTCAAGCCACAGTTTGGTCAGTTCTTGTTTGAGCATTTCGTGACTAGTTATTTGCTTTTTTGTTAATTGATAATCCATCCAGCTCCATAAATTTTAAACTAGGTTTAAGTCTGGTGATCGTGCTGGCCAAGGCATAAGTTGAATATTACTTTTAAGGAAATAATCAGTGATTGAATGCGCTGTATGGCATGGAGCATTGTCTTGTTGAAATAACCAATTTTGATCAGCCTGGAACAAATCGCGACTAGGGATAAGTGCGTTTTCCAAAATGTCACGATACTCACACTGGTTTAATCTTCCTTCGTATATTTTATAACAGCCAACGCCTGAGCCTGATATACATCCCCATATGCCGACGGAACCACCGCCTTTTTAAATACGGCTTAATAGGTGTTGCTTCAAATATTTTTATGTATTTTTGCGACGAACAAATCTCTTGTTTTTTCTGTTAATATTTTCGAAATTTGATTCATCACTAAAGATAATCATTTTCCATTGTTCTACTGAATAATTTAAACTCTCTTTGCACCATTTTTTTCGTCTTTGGCGATTGGTTAACGTCAACAAAGGCTTTCTTACACAATGAAACGAATTTAATTCCTTCTTGCGTAATAACTTACTTATAGTCATTCAACTAACTGTTTTGTCTACCAGCGAATATATATGAATATATATATATATATATATATATATATATATATATATATATATATATATATATATATATATATATATATATATATATTCATATATATGTATATATATATATATATATATATATATATATATATATATATATATATATATATATATATATATATATATGAATATATATATATATATATACATATATATATATATATATATACATATATATGTATATATATATATATATATATATATATATATATATATATATATATATATATATATATATATATATATGTATATATATATATATATATATATATATATATATGTATATATATATATATATATATATATATATATATATATATATATATATATATATATATATATATATGTAAAGGTGGGTCGATTTTCAACTTTTTTTTAAATTTTAACATTGGACAAGTTGAGATGGGTAGAAAGCAACATAATTACAAGTAAAAACAAAAAATAAAGGTTTTTTAAGGGAATAAAATTTAGTTTTACTATAAAAGCTGATATGAGGGGGTTATTGAAAAAAATATATAACCAGTAGCTAATTATAGAAGCGACTCCATCAAAACAAGTTTCATTTGTAACATTTGGTTGTTTTACTTTTTTAAATATGCTATATCAAAAAAACAAAAAACAAAAAAAAAAGCTTCAATAAAAAGGTTTTATTTTTTGTTAAAATACAGCCTATTTAGATCAAAACGTCATTATACTTTTGACAATACGTACCCTTTGAAGAAAAATTAGCTCTCTTTTGAAGACTTAAATTTTTCGCAATGATATGTTTATGCTTTGCTTCCATTCCATATACTGTATGGCAAGTTTCAAATGTCATTTTCACAGCTCTCTTAACTCTCAGAGTATGAGAAGGCAGAACCGGTAACTCAAACTTCGTTACATTTAGCAACGATTCTTGTAAATGCTTAGATAATGTGTTTAGTGAGAGCTGGTTTACAAATACCTGTTTGAGAAAGGTTTACTAGATCCGACCAATGATATGTATCAGTTTTTATTGCAGTGATTTTGTTTAATCTTCTTGTAGGCACTTTCATATTTCTAAAAGAATTTAATTAAAATTCTCAAAATGTTAAATCTTTTTTTGATCTTGTTTAAGTTTTTTCAAAAATACAAAATATAATAAATGAATTTTTACTCCAAGGTGTGAAATAAACGTTCCGGCTCATTATCAGTTATGAACTTTTTTTATACCCACCCAAAATTGCACGTTTAGTAATTTGGAGCTTGATTTTTCTGCTTGCTGGAAAAATTTTCAAGAATTTACAATTTACT